TTTTGGAAATATATTAAAAATGTTTCTTTAATCTTTTATTGCGAACATTGTCAATTTGAATATAAAAACATTACATATGATAAATAAATAACTATACATATATAAGATAACAAATGTACACGCAAAAAAGAACAATAAAATATATAAAATATAATAGCATTCGCCATTAATATATAGCATAGTAAAAATTAACAGATATTACTAAGTTTTCATTCACTCGAAATATTATATTTATCTCATTTTTTCAATAAGATAAATAACAATATTGATAAATCACTGTTTAACATTGTTTTAGTATGCTTTTTAAAACAAATTAGTCGTGATCGAAATGAACAAAAAAGAAATGTTTTCTGATAAAAATTACTATACTTTTTTTGCATATTAAAATAACTTCCTTCAAAATCCATCCCGCGCCCATTATCGACGTATTTTTTTTCTTTCGTATTTATTCTCTCTCCCTAGCTGTATAATGAACGATAAATTCCGGTATTTCCCGTCGAATCCGTGATAGAACATTTCTTCCATATTGTACATATAGAAGTATTGTAATTGTGATTAGCACCGCTACGACAATCGTATATATGGATATTTGCAATATTAATTCATTACAGTTCAATGATGCAATGGGAATCCTATACAAGGGTATATTACTACCTTTGCATTTTACATATTTCAGATCTTTATAATAATATCGATTTAATTGGACGAAATTATATAAATCATGAGTATAGCAATCACAGGATATTGGGTTCCCACTAAGAGTAAATTTTTTTAAAGATCTAGAATTCAAGTAGTTGACTACATCTTTATCGAGATAAGCTATATCATTATTATGCAATTCTAATACCTGTAAACGAAAAAGATTGAAAAAAAAAAGAAAGAGATAATATAATAATAATTATATATATATAAAAAAAAAAAAAACAATAAATTACGTACTTCGAGACTTTTTGGTATGCTGTCAAGAGTTACTTTAGAAATCTGATTATTAGATAACAGTAAACCAGTTATGTTTATTGGTTTTAAAGATTCTAATGATGGTATCTCAGTTAAGAAATTTCTAGTGAAATTTAATATTAAAGAACGGTTCCTATAGCTGCGAATTATGTTTTGGTTGGCAACAAAATTAGTTATACTGTTATTGGAACAATCTAAAATTCGTACCTCATCGTACGGTCTTATATAGCAACTACAACCATTTTGACAATTTTTCTTAATATTAAAGTACTCGTGTTCGTTACATATATAGGTGGATGAATTCAATTCTTGAATTATTGACCCGTATATACCATTATCTTGA